GCACGCGCACACCGCTACGCACACACGTGCGTTGACCTGTGCACACATTCTAATTTATTAAACTAGTTAGTATTAATAATAAGTATCTTAGCATTATTAAAGCCGGACAGCACATCGGCATTGCCCACCGTTAAAACAATTGTATTTATTTCTACGATTTTTAGTGTTCAGCTATAACAGTCATCAGATATCTATATAGTGCACAGTACGGTATTTTAGGGATATTTATTGCTTACTGCTGGAGTACTGGCAACCTACTAGACAGCAAGTTGAGAATTGAAAATTCTCATTAGGATGCAAAGGTTACGCGAAGGCAGCGAGAAAGAGTTTTTCTGCTGACAGGAAATACTGTAAATAATTCCGCTTTGCCAATATTGCGAACTTGAAGGGTTCGAATGTGCTTTGGAGTGCTTTCCGTGTTAGTTGCTGGTATTTAACTGTCGTTCAATTTGATATCAAACCCTCAAATTCTAGAATGACACGCTCTTGGGCACTCCCGGTCAGACTTCCCCCACCCACCCCAGAAGTACAGTTACAGGCTGTTGGGCTCACTGTATGTTATTTACTATTTGGAAGATACTTTTTTTTCTATTGTTAACTGAGACAATACATGATTTAGCGGAAATACTGGAGGGACACAGGCGAAGCCAGTCACGACAGGGAGGCAGGGGTCCCTAGTCCGTTGATTTTTTTCAGTCAGAGCGATAATATATATATATATATAATAATATATATATATATGATATATGATATATATATTATATATCATATATAGATACAAGTTTATAACGGACACGGTAGAAATTTTGACTCTGTCTTATTGCCAGTACAGAACTGTTTTCGTGTGGAGCGAAAAGGCTCCCCACCCACTCAATCAGCTGCCTTTAATACAGAGAGGCACTACAATGGCCTGTATACCTCTGTATTAGGCATGGATGAGGTGTGGAGCTTTCGCTCCAACACAAAACAGTTCTGTATGGCAATAAAACAGAGGTCAAAATGTCTACGTGTCCGTACTAACTTTATCTATATATTGCTCTTACTCATGGTAGTAGTTTGAGCACTCTTCGGACACACGAGTTCATAAACAGCCATTGGAATCTAATATATATACATAGACGAATAATCATAGGGGGCCGTACGATTATATATGACACCTCACTTGTGGATGAATGTAAAGGTCAATTCTAGGATGGGAAATAATAAGGACAGCATTGGCAATTCATAGAAAATACTATAGAGGGACCACTGTGAGAGTCTAACTAGTATTAATCTTTATGTTATTAGATTGCAATGCGATAAGTTTGATACGACGCGCGCGTGGGTGCCCTTTCTACAAAATAAACATTGCCAAAGAGCTGCACATTGGGTTTTTGCGCCGCGCTCTACATCCTGCAAAGTTTCCACTTTGCATCCACTGTTCCAGGTAAAAAACTGGTTGCTTTCGCATTTGGACGTTTCTCTTGGTTTGCCAAGGCGTTGTTTGTATCCCAGTGTTATTCTCATGCATGCATTTCGGACAGGTACATGCCTTGACTGCTTAGCATGGACACAACCTGATTACTAATGCGTCGCTTGACCTTTTTTTAGCAACTCTTGTTTAAAACATAACGGGACCTTATACGCGCGCGCGACACACACACACACACACACACACACACCACACACACACACCACACAGCACACACACAACACACACCACACACCACCACACACACATACCAACACCACACACAACACACACACACACACACACACACACACATACACAACACCACACACACACACACAACACACACACACACACACCACACGACACACACACCACACACCACACCACACCACACATCACACACACAGTATCACGCCTCTTACCTGGCATATTCTACTGCTCGGACGTTTGCTTTCGAGTTCATTAGTGATTGATGTCCAGTCGAAGCTTTTTCGTGTTATGGTCCGCCCACAGAGCATCGTGTAGCCACACCAGGCTTAATAACATCGTCAACGTTGTTCGCCTTGAGCAGATGTCGCCGTCACTGGAAGCAGACGAAACCGACGCAAGGACGTCACCGGATCGCGGCTGGCATGGGTTGTGCTGCCGGTTTCGTGTTTAGCTAGAGCTTGTGATCACCTAATCACGGTTCGTTCTCTATCTATCGCGTACATTAACGGAGGCGTTCGGCACACAGCACGGCCACCAACAAGCCAGTGTGATCCTTTTTCAGTTGGACTGTTCTCTGAGTGCTTGCGTACTTGATCCTTTCTTCTTCATTTTTAAATATTCTTTAGAGTAGATTCGTGCTCTCCGTCTGCGCATTTAACTGCGGCCTACTTTCTACTGCATAATTTCTACCGCATATTTCCCCCCCCCCCCCCCCCACCGCATGTTTCTACTGCAATTATGCGAGGTTTGAGACGCTTAGTTTCTTACAGATTTTGTTATATTGATTGATCGCAGTCATTCATTGCTTAGACATAATTCTCGCTAGGAAGATGGTAATTACGATATCAGTCTTAGATATCTATTTTCCACACTAGGGTAATTTACCACGTTTTTGTTATCAAGCAAGGTTGGACAAAGATCAGCAAATATCTATGTATAGTTATAATTATAATATAAATATATATAGCATAATTCAGTATGTTTATGTTAATACCTTTATGTGCACACAAACTATTACAAAAACATACACAAAGATATATAAATTACACAAGGTTGGATTGATGATTTGGATGGATGGATGGATGGGATGGATGGATGATGGATGGATGGGATGATGATGGATCGTCGATGGATGGATGGATTGGAATGGATGGATGGATGGATGGATGGATGGATGGATGGATTGGAAATGGATGGATGGAATGGATGGATGGCATTGGATGGATGGATGGATGGATGGATGGATGGATGGATGGATGGATGGATGGAATGGATGCATGGATGGAATGGATGGATGGATGGATGGATGGAGGGATGGATGAATGGATAGGATGATGGATGGATGGATGGAAGGTTGGATGGATTGGATGGATGGGATGGACTCGGCCATGGTATGGATGGATGGGCGATGATGAATGTATGATGGATGGTGCATGGATGGATGGATTGGATAGATGGATTGGATGGATGGATGCGATGGATTGGATGCGATATGGATGGGATGGATGGATGGATTGGATGATGGATGGATGGATGATGGATGGTGGATGATGATGGATATGGATGGGATTTGGGATGGCATGGATGGATGGTGATTGGATGATGCGATGATGGATGGATGATGGATGGGATGGATGGAATGGATGGATGGCATGGAGTGGATGATGGATGGGATGGATGGATGGGAATGGATTGGATGGATGGATGGATGGATGGATGGATCGATGGATGGATTAGATGATGGATGAATGGATGGATGGATGCGATGGAATGGATGGATGCGATGGATGGATGGATCGGTATGGATTGGATGGATGGGAATGGATGGATGGATGGATGGGATGGATGGATGGATGGATGGAGATGGATGGATGGATGGATGGTATGGATATGGATGATGATGGGATGATGATG